CACCTACAACTAACGTCATCTAACTGTGAGCCGCAAGAACTAAGTTTACTACCTAATATCTGAGCGGGAGATTGGAGAGAAGTTGAAAATTCCAAAATCAACAATCCACGATCATATAAAACGTCTTGGATTCGTTAAAAAGCTTGATATTTGGGTACCACATGAATTGAAAGAAATTCATTTAACAAAACGTATCAATGCTTGCGATTCTCATCTNTCATTTAACAAAGCGTATCAATGCTTGCAATTCTCATCTCAAACGCAATGAATTCGATCCTTTTTTGAAGCGAATAATTACTGGTGATGAAAATGGATTGTTTACGATAATATTAAGCGAAAACGTTCATAGTCCAAACGTGATGAGCCACCACAAACCACCTCGAAAGCTGATATTCACCAAAAGAAGATTTTGCTATCAATTTGGTGGGATGGGAATGGTGTGGTATTTTTTGAGCTCCTTGCAAGGAACCGAACCATCAATACGGATGTCTACTGTCAGCAACTGGACAAACTGAATGCAGCGATTAAAGAAAAACGGCCAGAATTGGTCAATCGTAAGGACATCATTTTCCACCAGGACAACACTAGGCCACACACATCTTTGGTCATTCGCCAAAAATTAATGGAGCTTGGTTGGAAATTGATGTTACATCCACCATATAGCCCTGACATTGCGCCGTCAGATTACTATTTATTTCAATCCTTGCAGAACTTGGATGGTAAAACTTTTAAGGATGATGAAGCTGTGAAATCGCACTTGGATCAATTTTTTGCCGATACCAAAAACCAAAAGTTCTACGAGCGTGGAATTATGAAGTTGCCAGAAAGATAGCAAAAGGTCATTGAACAAAATGGAAAATATGTCAGTGATTAAAGTTCATTCTATGCACAAAAAAAATTGTATTTTATTTCTATGAAAAATTCGGCAATTATTTTTCGGGCAACCCAATACATGCGCTAAAGTTAGCGACAGCGGAGGCGTAATTATACTCTCTTTCCTCTTTATTTTTTCTCCCGTCTCACCGCTTACTACACAACTTCCCCCTTTGCGTATACAACCACCCTCAGTTATTCACCCAACCAATTTATCTATAAGATTATAAAAATTTTGTTTATTCATTGACGTCAAAACTATGTAACTAAAAATTTTATTTATTCATTGACGCCAAACCTATGTAACCCACGCAAACTAACTGTGATACTCTTGTGCTCATGGTCGGATAGGCTAAGTTCCTAGACCTTGTACACCTTTTTGTACACCCCTTGCGTGCGAGGTCGTGATATAAGATTATAAAAATTTTGTTTATCCACCGACGTCAATACTATGTAACCCTCGTAAACAAACTGTGATACTATAGCGTTTATGGTCGGATAGAGTAAGTTCCTANGTTTATTCATTGACGCCAAAACTATGTAACCCACGCAAACTAACTGTGATACTATTGTGCTCATGGTCGGATAGGCTAAGTTCCTAGACCTTGTACACCTTTTTGTACACCCTTTACGTGCAATAAAAAAAAAAATTCAAAAATAATACGCCTTATTCGAAAACTTCAATATTACTACGTCTAGGGAATGGGATTTTATTATAGTTCAAAAGAAACAAAATCATCAATTTTTTTTAATAATAAACTCTTTAATAATGTTATATATATAAATATACATACATATGTTTATATAATATTGTTATCAATATTCAATAATAACCGTCTTCGTCTTCAAATACTCGTTCAAAGCTTCCTGTCCCAAGTCTTTTCCGAATCCCGACATTTTGCAGCCGCCGAAAGGAGCTGCCACATCTGTCTTATTGTAAGTATTAATGAACACAGTGCCAGCTTCGACTTTTTCCGCAAACTTTAGAGCTTTGTCAATGTTTTTGGTAAGGATACCGGAAGCCAAACCATATTCGGTATTATTCACCCTGTCGATCAACTCATCCATATTCTGTCGATTAAACTTGGAGATCAACATAATCGGACCGAAAGATTCTTCCTTGGCGACGTACATAAAATCCTTCACATCTGTAAAGATAGTTGGCTGAAAGTACCACCCCGGGCGATTCAATCTCCCGCCTCCATAGACCAAATTAGCACCTTCGCTCACTCCTTTCCGCACAAACATCAGGAGTTTCTCCAAATGACTTTTGTGATTCTGCGGTCCATGCGCTGTACTTCTGTCTAAAGGATTGCCGATGCATATTTTCTTCACTTCATCGAGTACTCGTCTTACAAACTCATCGTGTATAGTCTCCTCGACAAAGAGCCGTCCAGCAGCTATACAATTCTCGCCTTTGTTAAAAAACACGCTATTCATGCCGACTCTAACTGCCTGCTGTATGTCGGCATCATCGAAAATAACTAAAGGGCTCTTCCCGCCGAGCTCTAAGGACAATCTCTTTAAATTACTATCGCAAGCTTTCATAATAGTCTGACCGACCGGAGTAGAACCGGTAAAGCCCAACTTCCTAATTAGCGGATGCTTCACTATAGCATTTCCAACTTCATTGCCATATCCACAAACAATATTAATGACACCGCGAGGGATTCCGGCAATCGCAGACAGCTCGGCAAATTTTAAAGCAGTCAATGGGGAAACTTGAGCAGGTTTCATCACCACGGTGTTACCAGCCGCTAGACAAGCTGCCATCTTCCATGAGAGCATCATCAATGGGTAATTCCAGGGGGTAATTAGACCACAAACGCCAATCGGTTCCCTTCCTGTGAAAGTGAGGTTACGATTTGGACGCGCGTGTGAAATAGGTATGGTGGTGCCTTGAATCTTGTCACACCATCCGGCAAAATATCGCCAAGTTTCAATCGACATGCCAACATGAGTCTTCAGGGCAAGAGTGTAAACAGCTCCAGAATCCAAGCTTTCCAAAGTAGCTAATTCTTCCTTGTGTTGCTCCATTAAGTCTGCTAATCTAAAAGACAAGGAGAATGAATGAGGAAAAATAAATAGAGAACAATTTTATCGTATTGTATAAAGACCGTACAAAGAAAAAGAAAAAAAGAAATTAATAAAATAATAATTTTCGATTACGAAAAATAAGCAGAATTCAACAAACTTTCGAAAAAAAAATAAAATAAAAACGTTAATGAAATATTTTGAAACATATTTTATAGCTCTAGTTCTAATTTTCTAGCTACGGTAGAAATCTCTTGTTCTCAGATGATATTTCAGTAAGGAAATTGATCGCATACTACGCGCAAGATGACAGCAAATTTGACATCAGAATCCCACACCAAAACCATGTAGTTTTCGCATTCACCTCGTATTTTTGTGACAGAGCCTGCTACAACATGCAATCCGAATATTTTGACAAAAACCGCACGGAACTTGTTATGTCGTTAAACTGCGCGCAGCAAGATCTGCTCAATTTCTACCACAAATCTGTTTAATATCATTCTTTTTGCATCAAACTATTAACTTGACGTTGTATGTTGAAAAATCAATATCAATTTTGACTAGTTTAAAAAAATTTATTTATTCTTCTATTGCTTCTTCTCGCTCACAAAATAATTTTTAAAAAATTGCTATTTTATCTTGTTTCTTTTTTTAGGGAAAACTTCAAAATAAATCGACGATACTCTTGTTAGGAAAGTAGCAAATACATTACTGTCTTCTTACTTAAATAACAGTGCACCACGCTCCCTGGCACTGATTTTACTCCATTCGCCCATTTCGAAGGCTTCCTTGGCGACTCTAACAGCTCGGTCAACGTCTTCAATGTTCGCACTTTCCACCGAACAGATAATGCTCTCATCGTGAGGATTTATGGTATCGATAGGCTTGCCGTGGCCATTGACAAACTCGCCATCAATGAAGAGTTGTTTAGGGAATCGTAAGATCATATTGTTTGCGTGCACTTCTACCGCGTCGTACTTTATCTCTTTTGAAGCTACATTTCCTCGAGAAGCGAGAACGACCGTCTTAACGAAATCTATGAATACTGACGCCATGAACACGTCAGTATTCTGCAAGGTGACGTTAAAACTGTCTTTAACCTCTTCAATTAAACGCACTACGTCCATGCTACCACCACCTGAGACAGAGAAAGGCACATTCCAATCAGAAATACCCAGAATGTATTTTGAAAACTATTCCAATATAAATTCTGTATCAAATTTATATTTGACTCATTGTTATATGCTAACAATATATCGATGTTTTTTATTGGGAAAAAAAACAAAGTTCAGCTGCCTTAAATTTAAATTTAAACATATAGCGAAGAACCTCACTTATTTCTACATGGATTTTGGATCTTGTGCAACTAGTGTAACAGGACCTACGTTGTATAAAGTGAAAAATTATAGTTATATAAAATCAAAATGTGATTGATGACACAATCCTCGCTGTTCGGAGATATACTTTCGTGAAACATTGGGAAAAAAATGAACAAATATTGAAAAAGTGCACTAAATGCTAATCAGTTTTATTCAATTTCTCAGCATTCCGATGAGCATCAACGGCTAATAAGTTACTTTGAAATATTAACTTGAAGTAACCAATAGATTTATCAGATTTTCAATAGTTTATCATTCCTCTATCGAATCGATATTATATATTAGCCACGGATCGAAAAAGGTCCTTTAAATAGAAATTTTAATATTAAATGTATCACATCAGCATAAGTTTCTCGCAAGAAAACCTCCAAACTTACCAGAAACAAAGAAATCTGTATCGTTCTCGACATCTATTTTAAGTATATTCTCCCAAATTCGGCGCAAACCATCAGTAGTTTTTAATTCTTCTTCTGAGAAGTCAACGTCAATATCACTATTAGCTTGCCCGTATTTACTGGCGTGAATAGTCTTGGTACCGATCTTGATTCTCTCCACATTAATAAATCGTCCATCAACAGTTTCGATTAATAAACCATCCCGATGAATGCTCCCTTTTCGCTCGCCGACAAGGTCGACTTCATTCGTGACTTTTGGCAGTGTATCGCTGTTCCACAAAGACGATCCAAAAAGACGAACTTCCTCGCCGCTTATCGTTGTCCAGGCGCCTGGTGTGCTATCTAAACCACGAATGAAGTTGTGTACTTCCTCTGCTGGTTTGGTCCAATCGATTCGCTGATGCTCCTTCTTGTTTAACATCGGATCATACGTTGCGCCAACCTCGGATTGCGGTATCGCGGGAGCGGTACCTTTCGCCACAAGATCCACAGCTTCGACCATTGCCACGATACCTTCTGGATAGAGAAAGTTGTTGTACAAGCTATCCACAGTGTCGTTCAGTTTCACCTTGTAAGATTTCTGCAGCAGGACTGGCCCGGTATCCAAACCATCGTCCGCCCAGAAAATCGAGAATCCAGCGGTCTTATCTCCTTGAATCAGAGTCCTACGGAGAACGGATTGACAGAATTAATGAAATTGCCAAAGCTTTCTGTCAGAGATGTACTCAGATCAAGAAAGAATCAAACAAATCAATTAACGTATGAGTTACGAATGCTTTATTAAATATTATAATTTAATCAAACGTTAAATATTCTTTAAGGCTCGCTGCTGCAGCCATCTTATTTGATAATATCAGAAGTGAGAAATGCATGCCTAAAATTTTTACATAATAAATTAAAAGGATATGTTCATTGAATAACACTTGTGATTAATTGCGAGAACATATGATATTCCGAAAACTTTTTGCTCTAACAATCAATAAATAATCGTAAAATTAACATGACATACAACTTTCCTTCTTAGAGTCTATCTTTCTATTCTCATAATTTTACCACGTTAATTTTATCTTTTTTCACATCTTTTTCATAATCTTTCTTCAAAAAAAGGTAAAAAGAAAAAGGAGTACTTGTTGTTTCGCTTTCGCAAAAAAAAATATAACAAAAAAAACTTGAAAAATGTTGAGTTATTAAAATATAAATAATGCGTATGAAAACGACAGACGAAAACGACGGACATATCATTTGTATATTAGCTTTACATTGAAGTAATAATCAATAATCAGTAATACAAGAAAATTTTAATATTTAGACACAAAATTTTTTACTGCGTACAACGCAACATTATCATGAGACTTAGGATCTAAAAGAGAAACTATGACCGAAACATTCGTTTGAAGAGTACCGTTCAATGTTTAATTAAACTACAATAATGAATTAAATATTTTTAACTAATATCTTGCTGCTTTCTGTCTTTCTAATATCAATCTTGCGTTGACTCTATACTGATTTGTTTAATTTTCTTGTTAAATAAAATCTGCCAGCGAGATATTATTGTATATATTGCACATTGGTATATAAAGCTTTGAAGAAAGATATAAAATTTTGTAAGCATATTCATGCGAATAAACGAAAACATTTCATTGGTATGTGTCGAAAAGATGACTTTTTCGAAAATAAAAGTAATTTTCAGTTTTTACACAACACAGATAAACCGCATTTGGAATCTTTGCAGCGATATATATTTCTACTTATGCACTGATAAACGGAGAAGATTTACGTAAAATACGAGATATACGAGTATACGCTTTGCAAATACAGATAATTCAATAACGATTGATAGGTCGAAAATAAAACTCGATATGAGAGTTTGTCCGATTCAACGAAAAGGATCATACGATGAGTTCGTGGTCATGTATTATCGTCGTCGTTATCGTCAGCATATTTCCAACAAGAAAGTAGTTTCGTTTCGCAATCTGGAGCATGAAAACCGGTAGCAAACCGGTTATTGCGGCACGCGCGGAGATATTTGACGATATCGTGAAACACGATATTGTAGTTAACTGATTAATACATGCTGATAGTGAATTTATTAAGCTATAAAGTTGATGAGAGAAAGAAAAAGAAAATTTAAAAGTTCCTTTTGCGAAATTAGAATCATTTTATCACCATTTCGCGTCAACGAAAAATGACCGATACAAACTCACCAGCTTATGGCACTCGCTCCTCTGTGCCTTGGTAACAAGGACGGATGATAGCATATGCTACGATAGCGAGGATAGTTGATCACCTCCATAGGGATGAATTGAGTACAGAAAGGGAGAACATTGAGATCCACCTCGATACTCTTGTATAGCTCCAAGACTTCGGGCAAGAGTACGCCCCTACTCCTCCAAGCCTTCATTTTGAACACCGGCGTGTTGTTGGCTTTGGCAGTGATCGCTGTGATTTAAATAGGAGATAATAAACAGAATTCTGAAAGGCAGTTTCCTCGCTACTTCCCCCATACATCACTTTATATTCACTTTATATTCACTTCATATTCAGAACTTTCTATTTTGATAAAAGCATATATCCGTACCTAGAGGATCTTCGCGACTTCCTTTATCCGGAATCGTAAATACTCCTGTGACTCGATGCCCATTTTGACGCAAAAGTTTATAAACTTCTGCCGCAAAAGGACTCTGTCCAATGATAGCCACTTTGAGTTGCGTCATCATCGACTGTAATTTTAAAGGATTTCTATCAATTTATGCATACCTTTTCACTCTTGAAAATTATATCACAATTTTCATTGAAACAGATATAAGAAATGTCACACAACTATTTTATTAAATTATACTATTAATTGTTTTACTTATATTTCATAATATCTTTAGTTATATAAATTAATTCGCTGAGATTCACATACCTGTTCCAGACTTATTCTATCATGGATTATACTAGTAGTAGTAGTATTGAGTAAGCTGTAAATTTACAATTATAAAGCTTATTTACAGAATAAATTTGCAGAGTTTGCAGAATCATCGTGTTTACTGTTAGCAGCAATTAGTTATTATTGCTTTTTGTACAATATATTTAAGAAATCAGAATCATATATGTATATAATTCTGAGTATTCACAGGCACGATAGGACCTTGTACAATATAGAGAAAGGACGGATAAGGTGAAATATTTTTTTTTTAGAAATCGTTAAAAAGGTGAAAATATTTTTAAGAATAATTACATAAATATTTCATATAGATTATTTTCTGAGACTATTGATTAGCAAAAAGAAAAGAAGAATTTTTTTTATTTTCTCAGAAATTGATTATTACAAAAGTACAATATCAACTTTCGACGATTAATTATTACAAAAGTACAATATCAACTTTCGACCTGTCCGCAGTACACAATAAAAAATATTTTGTATTTGTGTTCGGTCCATGTTAAACTTTTTGTGTTAAATTTTTAACATACTCGTGTATTAATTTAACATATTGTGTTTATGTCATTTCAATATTTTCGGTTAAATTGATATTCAATACATATATAAGTGTTAAAATAATACATTTACATACAAATTCCAGTGTCGATTAACATATCATGGACATTAATTTAATGTTAATTTCTGACATAATATTTGCGTTACTTTTCAACATATTCACCTTGTTAAACTATCACAAATTNTATTTCCATGCCGATTAATATTATCTATGTTAATTTTGTGTTAATTTTTTACATAATATTTGTGTCACATTTGTGTTACATTTTAACATTTATCTTATGTTAAATTAACACAAACATTGCTATCTATAGATATGATTGTAAACAGGTTTTCGAAATCTGTCTGGACGGATAAAAATTCTTTTGTGATAAATGTGACCGTCAAAGTGTTAACATTCCATATGTAAAAATTATGTTCAATTTTTTTCATAAATTTCCGCTGTTTCTTTAGAGAGAGAGAGAGAGAGAGAGAGAGAGAGAGAGAGAGAGAGAGAAAGTATGTACTTATTAGTAAAGTGAATAATATACATATTGGTACTAAATGTTAAAATTTGTTAAAATATATTTCAACTTTTTTACATATATTTACGTATTTCCTTAACTTTTATGGTATACGCATATTTATATTATTTTAGACGTGTGCTTACGTTAGTGTCCAGGACGAAATTACGCTTCCAGATGAAGTTTTTAATGAATGTCAACATCAGTAGAAGGTAGTAGCGGCATGTACCGTATGTAGTGTTCACATCGCAACTTCACTTTCTTTACTGATTGCGAATCGCGCGATTGCATCGAATCGTGGTAAAACGAGTTTACGGGTGCATTCACATGTCGAAATCGAGATCGGTTCCAGCGACTAAAAAAAAAAAAGCGGCTACGATAGCGTAAATGATATCTGGCGTAAAAGGGTCAAGTTGATTTGATTATCGCGCGTCCTCGTTATCATCGAACGAATAAGTGATTTATAGTTAAATATGAGAAAAACATGTTGAAGCTAAAAGATTTTATTTGAATAATAAAATTGATTAGGCTGATTATATCACACATACGTAGACATAATATATCTAGACCGAGCACTTGTCTTTATTTAAAGAGGGAGGGTCAAAGTGCATGTAGAAAAGGATATACTCTGTTTTGTGTCCTTACATTCTCTCTACGGTCTATACGCGTGTCGAAAAGGAACGCAAGGACATGCTGAAACATAGAATGGCTGGCTTAAGACATATGTGTATGTGTGTATGACGTCTTACCGCTCGATTTAAATCATTTTACCAAACACTTAGACACTTTTAGATTTTTAATACGTTTTTAAGATGTTCTAAGGCATCTTCGTTTTTTTTAAGAAAGTTTAAGATTAATTTCATATTTTAAAAGACCAATAATATTTATAAATAATGTTAATAATAATAATAAGAAGAAGAAAAAGAATAATAATGATATTTTTAATAATAATAATACTTTTAAATACATTGATTTTTAAATTGTTTGTAATTTTACAATTTTACATATGTATGAAGGTTCAAAAAGATAAAGTGTGTCGCTATTTAATAATTTCTTCTTATTTATTTATTTTAAAATTTAAATCAAATTAATTTGGGAAACGATCGTTCGCGTACAATCGAAAGGATTGAAGAAATTTTGAACGGATAATCGCGACATTGCGAGGGTGAACGTTGCGATCGTTATATGGAACGCACCTTCTATCTAATGCTTACTACCAGCGTGAGTTCTGATTGGCTTCTGTTTATCGGACGCTTTTCTGTCAATGTGTGAATTCTCTCTTACGACTTGGTTTGCGCGCAAACGCGTTAATCCGATTTAGTAACTGGGTAACGAACTCTTGCATTTAATTGGAATATATTTTTAGATCTAAAAGGATATACAAATCAGATACAAGAGTTTGCAAACTACGGTCGTCATAAACCGGATTAATGTGTAAACGTAGATACCTCTTTTTATTCACACTAGGCACTTCATTGACATCGCGCATGCGTGAAAGACGCTGCCTGTGTGACAACATTGTCACCGAAAGTCCTCGAAAAAAAACCAACGTCGAGGGTGAGGAAAACGAGACGAGTGCTCCTGTTTTGCTCAAGGATCATTTCGTAGAAAACAACTTATCGAGGCTATACGAAGGAAGAAAGAAAACGACTAAGACGCAAGTCCAAACATTCGTTCGTGAAGATTGCAACGAGGAACTAACTGAGAATTTGCTTATCGACGCTACGCCGAGTCGTTCTGCCGTTAGACGACTAGAAAAGTAATTTTCGCAACTTCAAATCAAACTTCTTCGCGTAACGTTTATTTACGTTTTTTATTGATACAAAACAAAATATGGCATAATAATTGAAATAATATAAATAAAATGTTGATATTGATAATGTCATGCGAATCATTGTACTCGCTTATTATATATTGCTAAGTAGGTGCTTTGTTCAGATTATATCAAGATTCTGATTCTTGTATACGCAGATGCCTAATATAAAGCTACAGAGTTCTGATGGTGAAGTATTCGAGGTTGACGTTGAGATTGCAAAGTGCTCGGTCACTATCAAGACCATGTTGGAAGATCTTGGTATGGATGAAGATGAGGAAGAAGTCGTGCCACTACCAAATGTGAATTCTGCAATTCTCAGAAAGGTTATACAGTGGGCCACATACCACAAGGATGATCCACCTCCACCAGAAGATGATGAAAATAAAGAAAAGCGAACTGATGATATCAGTTCTTGGGATGCTGATTTTTTGAAGGTACATAACTTTTATGCCCAATAGATGAGATATAACAGATGTATTGCGAAAAATGTTGAATCTTCTATGTGTATTTGGAGTATCGGTGTATTTTCCACATATATATATATATATATATTTTTTTTTTAGGTGGATCAAGGAACTCTCTTTGAATTGATCTTAGCAGCTAATTACCTTGATATTAAGGGACTCCTGGACGTGACTTGTAAAACTGTTGCTAATATGATCAAGGGTAAGACACCCGAGGAAATTCGCAAGACGTTTAATATTAAGAATGATTTTACTGCTTCAGAAGAAGAACAAGTGCGTAAGGAAAATGAATGGTGTGAGGAAAAGTAGATCTGGATTTCATGTATTTACAAAGTACTCAATAATTCGTCCTTGGGGTTATTAGATTTCGAAAATATCTTTTCTGTTACTTTAATGAGATTCTTCCAGATGATAAGTTTCCTTTAACAAGACCTCTTAAGTTGCTCCTGTCAAAATCAACTAGCATTATAAGCTTGTATCTTGTATCGCTCTTCCGTATCACTTATTGCATAGAGCCAGAAAATGTTATTTATTTCAAACAAAGATAAACTAATAATTGTAAATTGAGGCTCCTGTTTCCTCCACCATCTTGATTAATGACGTCAGAAATGAGAAATAAGATAGTAATTAAAAGGAATCTATAAAATGACATTTATATAATTAATAATTTTATAAAATTAAAACTGAAAACTCTGTTCCAATATGATTATCAAATATCTATGAAATTAAAGTAGTATGTGATTGAAAGGCTAGCTACATGTTAATTCTATTACTCAATTATCAAGAAAAAGTCTTTGGAATATTTTACAAAGCTACTCAAATGATTACAAGTCTTATTTCATGGGCATATTTTGCTCACTTTAACGTACTTTACAAGAATTTTCAACGTACATCTTTTGACGTTAATCAAGATGACCAAAAATCAGGAGTCTTAATTGTGCTTACACACTTTATACCTGAGAATTTAATATAATCCAGAATTTTCCGGTATAATAGAAAATTTGCTATGGATGTGTTTATGTTCTAAATTGTCTTACTCGGAAATGCTTCTAGCGCACTTGCACAATATTAGACAACAGTTGCAATTACGTATTGAATGAAGTATAACAAATGTACATTTAAGAGCAAATTGTATACACAGTTTAAATGGGAATTAAATGTAACTTAATAAATCACTCATGTGTATTATGTTTATTACTTTGCGACGTGTTTTTAACACGTTCGCTATCATCATGCACACACCGAAATATTAGGTTGGTGCGTATGAAATGTCAGATTTTTAAGTGAATATATAAAACTGCATATCTTTTTTCAAAAGTTGTTTATTTAATCAAAATATGCTCCATTTGCTTGAATACACTTTTCCCAACGAGATTTTAATGCATAAATGCCTGTCTTAAAGAAATTCTTGATCTTTGGAGTCAATAAACTGATATGGAATTTTTCAGACTGTCTTCATTTTCATAGTGTTTAGCCCGTAAAAACAGTTCTAAATGTAAAAAAAAATGAAAGTCGGTTGGCGAAAGATCTGGTGAATAAGCTGGATGTTGCAAAATTTCATATTTTAACTCATATAATTTTGCAATCATTTTGTACGACGTATGCGGCCGAGCGTTGTCGTGGAGAAGTATCGGGCCATGCCGATTAATAAGTGATGGGCGTATAATTTTCAATTTTTTATGCATTTCATTAATGTACTGGCAGTACTTTTCGGCTGTAATTGTCTTCTCAGTTCGAAGGAATGAGTAGTGAATTATTCCAGTCACATTCCACCAAACTGTTATTAAAATTTTCCGTGGATGAAGTGATAGCCTTGGAGTATTTTCCTATTGTCGTAAAGAACCCATTTTTCATCACAAGTAACAATTCGATCGAAAAATAGTTCTCGATGAAATCGGGTTAGTAATGATGAGCATACGTTCAACCGATTCAGCTTATTTCGCTCGGTTAGTTCGTGCGGTACGCACTTATCCATTTTTTTTCACCTCGCCAATTTCAGAAAGGTGTCGCAATATTGTTGTACGGTCGACTATCATTCTGATAGCAAGTTCCCTTGTAGATACAGTTGGATTCGTTTCCACCAATGCTCTCAGAACATCATTATTCATAGACGTTTTAGGTCTTCCACGCGGTTCATTTTGTAGGGAAAAATCACCAGACCGAAATTTTTCGAACCAACGCTGTACTTTTCGTTCGTTAACAGTATTCTCCCCAAACGCCTGGTTTATATTGCGTGTAGCTTTTGCAGCATTATTGCTAAGTTTATACACAAATAAAAAAAATTACACGAATATCGGCTGAATTCATATCCGTACAAAATTCAAAACAGATAACAAAAGAAACACACTTTTGAAAAAATCCTCTTTGTTAAAATATGACTCTGGCAATGGGCAGTACGACTGTAAAAGAGGTTATGCCAAAAACAAAAGCATAACGAAAGCAGGAAGACAAATGTTCACATGTAAAGTAAATCCGACGTTTCATATGCACCAACCTAATATAATGGCATTTTGCTGACCCGAACAGCGTTCTAATAATCTTTGCGGTATGGTTCATGCTGCGTACTAGACTATAATTTGCAATATTATAGCAAATATCGGAATACTGGCCGGTCGAGTCGATAAATCGAAAATATCATAAATATCTGAAAGAGGCACCGTCATATAACGGCTTCTGCCCGCGGAAATGCTTGCTGCGCGAGTAACGCGGCAACCAGTAAACTTTTAGTTCTCCTGGAAAAACGGCAGATTGATTAGCTACCGCGTCGCTTCTCGCCGCTAGAGTCCTGAATAATAATAGAAGAGATCGATAGGTACGATATATCGAAAGCCGACATCTTTCCCCGCATATGACAGTCTGTTCTTTTTAGCTGCACTACTATAATATTATTATATATTATAACATTAAGTTAGAAAAATATTCGTTTCAGCAGCGTGGCTAAAAAGAACAAACCGTAGTCAAAGCAGTTTAGCTGTTCTTGGAAGCTGACTTATGGAAAAAGAAAGCAGTACAAAATGATGCTCGGGCGGCCATGTATTCGAATTGGCGAAAAAGTTAATTGTGACGATAATTCATCCACAGGTGGAAACAATATCAATCACGTGACTTAGTTAGCCAATCAGACGGTTCCCCTCGTTTTTCCATTTATCTAGGACTCTATGCTGTAATACCAGCTTAAGGCCCGTATCTCATTAAGAATGTTCCGTATATATTCAAAACCGTTCATCTTGAAATGCTATACCGCTTATTTCATTGGCTACGAAATATCTGAACTTTAAATGGTTTAAATATAAGATCTGACTATGAATACAGACCTAAATGAGACCTGTTCGTAAGGTGACTATTCCCAGGTTAAAGGAGCGCTGGATATCCCGGGGCGCTCTTATTATTTGTCTCTTTCGCGCGCGCGTAATACGGCCGCTTACTATGGGCGTAGAATGCGGGCATTTTCTCGAACGGAAACACGACGAGCAAATATAAAATCCACGATACGCGTGTCTCCATGTGTGGCGCGGCATGCGTAACTAAAGCAGCGCCACATAAACGTGGAACGAGGGCCGGCGACCATGTGACCGGCGACGGGCCAATCAGCTGTTTAGCTTTGTCGTGCCGCCAAGCTCATTTCCAGTCCGTGTGCACGCGGAAACCGTGAGCTTGGTCGTTAGCAAGTATCGCGCGAATATTCGTCATTTGTGCGAGCGATGACCGGCCGATCGCGATAGAGGAGGCGCCGATTTTCCACAAACGACAGGCCGAGCCGATCGTGCGACCTGCGACACTCCGCAAATCATCGCCGCAAGTGCTTTTATATAGCGAGGTCGCCATTTTGGTGATACGGCGAGTCGAGATCCGAAGCAAAGTGTAGCCCTATGATCTTTTTATTTTCGTTTTGTGCACAACCCGACATCGAAATCGTCCTCAGCGTGTCAACGGCCCAATAACGCCGGAGATGACACAGCAAAACAAAACGATGAACTTCCTAATACACGACGCTAACGGTAAGTGGAATCGCGGAGCGCGCGCTAACCATCGGCCAACACGCGTCACGGCATCGCGCGTATTTCCCTGGTCTTGCTTTCATGCCTTTAATATCCAGTGAAATTCGTCGCGCTGACTCGAACGCCCAGCCTTATCCCGGCCGCGTCGAGATCGCGTTACCTGCGAATTTACGCACGCTTTTCAGCCTTGACTTTGTCCAAGCAAAAGCATAGTTTTCCTCTACCGAAGGATTTTGCGAGTCAGCATGCTATTCTTTTGGTTTTGACGTTTTTGTCTTGTTACTATGTCGCTTTGTCGGCTTGACGTATGTGTGTGCAGACTGGCACTCTGTGCCATAAACAAATTGTCGAGTCAGGCATTGCTTCACACTTTTATTGTAACTTTCCTTTGCCAATCTCTGATTATCATAATTCCAGTTGATAAAGTACTGTACTATTGAGATTACATACAAAAAGTTGTTGGTTGCTCTATTTCAGCAATGATGCAGTTTGATATGCTCACGGCTTGAAAGATGTTACATTCTGTCGTGTGTTCATTGTAACACCATAAATACTTTCATTTTCATGTTTATTATGGCAAGAGAAATAATATCTTCTGTAGTATATTGTTTATGAAAGTAAGGAGAATACATAATGCTCCAAAGTAGGTTGATAGTTTCTCTCAGTTTCTGAAAACTACCGAGTAATTTTGTCCTTGAATGAGTATTTCCTTCATTTACTTGCTTTGGAGTGTAACATTTGCAAAATCAGTAAACAACTTGTCAACTTGATTATTGACAACTTTTTCTATTGTTGAAATATCTACATAAAATATTGTGTAATTTTATATATAAAAGAGATGAAACATATAAAAGACTTGAAGATATCATACAACTTTCTAAATGCAGTTAGAGAGAAACAGCTTGTGAAATAAATCCAACATAAATTGAATACAGTTTATATTGGTAATAAAGTTAAATCATACACACACATATATATATTTTTTTTAATCTATAAATTATAACAAGTGATTACTATATAGTTCCGGTGATGAATTCTTTGTTGTATATTTGCTTAAAGTTCTCTCTTTCTTTCTCTCTCTCTCTCTCTCTCTTGTATATCAGGTACTCTAAATATCATTATTTATAAATGTGATATTTATTTTATCATGATATTTATACATGTAGTATACATATATACATATATCTTATCATTAGCTATGCAAATTATTACCTGAAGATCAAGTTGTATCGATATTAGTTTGGATCTATCTTATCCAATAAAAATAAAAGTTTCCAAAAAATCATGTGCTCCTGTAAAATATTTATATTCGCAAACAATTATATATAAGTCAAATTTGTTACAGGACAACCACAAGTGATAAAAGTAGTGCAAAGTACACCTAACAAAGCATTAAGTGGTATTGTTAGCACAACAAATGCAGGTGGCCTTAAAGTGTTTAAAGCTCCTAATCAAGATTCCCAGGTACTTTTAAATCTGAACTTTAAATCCATACACAACTGGTTCAGAGGTTATACGCTATTTTTTTTTTATCCCACATTATAACATGGTCATTACAGCAGATCTTTTTACTTAAATAATTGCAATTCAAAAGTACGAAAAGTTAAGAGATATAAATAACATTCTCATCACACCATATATATATATATATATATATATATATATATATAATGTATATGTGCAATAATACCTGTCAGAATTTTACAAATATTATACGTACATACTGTTGCAATTAGGTATTGTCATCAAATGCACACATTCTTAGGACTATCAGTTTGCAAAGTTCATCTACACCTGGGCAGAGTAAGTAAATTTCACTCAAAAATATACTTTTTTCATGTAATTATAAATACTACCGTTCTAAATGGAAATACTCTTAACATGTAATTGTAGGACTGGTAACAATACCTTTACAAAATACTAAAGTGGCAACATCAAAATCGGGGGAGCCTGTGATGACCAAAACCATACAGCTCACTTCAGCGCAAATGGTAATTACAGTTTCACACAAGGAAGTTCAATGAAAAGAATCAAATTCATTGAATTTCACGATCGAAACGACCTCGAAATACGCATGCTTCGCATTTTTAGAGCGATATAAAACAAGCTCTCGTCTCACAGCAGCAACAACAACAGCAATCCAATACTCAGCAACTTATTAAAGATGCCACAGGAAAAACATTCATCAGTCCGATACTGGATCATAGCGGATCTAGAAAGAGACAGGACATCGATGGTGGCGACTTTGTGCCTGAGTAATTAATATAAAGTTTCCGTCGATAGATATTTTTATTTTATGCAGAATAGATTCCGCTTGATGCAGGCAATGTTTTTTTTTCATCTAATCTCATTGAGCTTGACAAACTAATGTAGTACATACGTTTCTGTATATTTTAGTAAACGAAGAAAAGCGGAGAAAGTCGGTAAGGGATTGAGACACTTTTCAATGAAGGTATGTGAGAAAGTGAAAAAGAAAGGTACCACTTCGTACAACGAGGTAGCAGATGAATTAGTCGGCGAATTCACTAATCCTGCTCACATCAATTCTTTAACAGATCAGGTATTCTTCATTCTGTCTGATATGCACGCATTAGTTTTATTATATATATGAAAGAGATGTATCTTACACACGTTTAACTTAAATATTTGTGATAAGTTTGTTATTCGACTGCCTGTGAAATTCGGTATGCTTTACATACTTTATCACTGCTTCTTGTAGCAATATGATCAGAAAAATATTAGAAGACGCGTATACGATGCTCTGAACGTGTTGATGGCAATGAATATAATTTCCAAAGAGAAAAAGGAAATTAGGTGGTTAGGGCTGCCTACTAACTCTTTGCAAGAATGTGCGGCATTAGAGAAGGATAAGAAGAAGAAAATTGACAGAATCAAGGCGAAAACACAGCAATTGCATCAGCTTATCCTATCTCACATTTCTTTCAAAAATTTAGTGGAACGTAATCGTTTGAACGAGAGCCTCCGCGGGCCACCGAAACCCAATTCTGCCATTCAGCTGCCATTCCTCATTGTGAATACCAGTAAAAAGACTGTCATAGATTGCAGCATTTCAAATGACAAGTATGTAGCAACAAGATTTTGAGAAATCCTCAGTAATCAGTAAAGTAATCGATCCAATGAATTATTCGTATTTTTCTTTTTGCAGAACCGAGTACCTGTTTAATTTTAATGATAAGTTTGAAATTCATGACGATATCGAAGTTCTGAAACAGATGGGACTAGCTTTTGGTAATATTACTCTTGTATTATTCCTTTGTAGCAGAAATATAATAACAGTGATCTATTTTTTGCATATGTCTCTTTTAGGATTAGAAAAAGGGGAATGCACTGAAGAGAATCTACAGAAGGCAAAATCCATGGTTCCGAAATCGCTTGAGAAATATGTGGAACGTACGTGTTTTTTTGTTTTACATGTATAGTATACAGAACATTCCGTGTTCTAGAGTTGTAAGTAAAGACGTGTAGATATCGCTGTTCAGCTAAGTTATCAAGATTCAGCTATCAAGAAAAATGTAATTCCTCTCGGTAACGTAATTTCGATCCCGCCTCGAACTTTTTTGTGGGATTGTTCCAAGTCTCTCTGTTGGTGAACGGAATAATCAAGATACACAGAGATAATATTTGCATTGAGTAAATTAATTGGCGATACAGCAGCAGAGTAATATGTTTCCAAGCGGAACAAATGATATGATGAAGAGAATAGTAAATGTTAAAAGTATCTGGCATTTTTCTGGCCTATTGCAATATTAGTAAAATTGTCTAGATAATTGAACCGAATTATAATGTTTTTATTTACACGAACGTTTTTATTTACCTCTGAAACATATTCTAGAGTCTGCCAGTTACTCCCCAGGATAAATTTCAGTTTCTCTAGAGTATTCTAAATGCGACGATCATATTACAGAATTGGCATCTGGGGACTTGGAGAAGTTTATTCCAGTGACTATTCCCGGCCCAAGCACATCGATGGATGACTTAGATATCAAATTGGAAGGTTCTCGACCACCCTCGTCGTTGCATACTTCATTATCGGAAGATGTTTTATCGCCACCCTCTCAGTACTTTTCAGAAGAGGAGGATGAGGAGGAAGAAAGCGATCAGGACGACCAGGCTGATAGTGATCTTGAAGTTAACTAGCACCTCGAATAATTTTTCAAAGGCTAGACTCAGGGTTTGTATATCTGGTACATACAATCGATACTATCAATTTAAATAATCTCTCACACGCGCTACCTATTATATATCTAGTACTAATCATTACATCCAACGATATTAATTTGCAGAGTTGTTGTTGACACCGTAGGCATGAGTGGCCAATGTATTTAAAAACACTGCTGAATATATTAAGGGTGACTTTCATCAAAGTTCGATTAAGCGACGATTTAAAGTTGCTGTCGATCGAGTGTGTTTCATATTGCTAACGCAAATAGAAATGTTCGATTATTGTTGAACGACAAAAGGATAAACTAGTAGTAGTAGGTCCAGCAAATGCTTTGAAGCATGTTTCTCCTTCATCTATCTTTTGGATTCGAATAAATAAAAAGAAAGAAGGAGAAATGCTTCGAAATATTAGTAGCGCTTGTGCTGGACCGCGCACATGAAGAGAGTGGCATGTTGAAATTTCGTGCTATTATTATATGCTTTATTGCGACTTTGGACATACTTATTAAACCTGTCTGAAAAATGTCTGAAAATTAGCTTGGAGTGAGAGTATATTTTCCATTTCTTACAACACAGCTGTCAAGCCGTTTTCCCGCATGAATAGGTCTTGCTTCACGTGCCTATTATTATTATACGACTATTTCTTGACTGTCGGGAGGGGATAATTTTTCACAAGCGATCTCAAGTGTTGTTTCATTCAAATATCTCTTTACTTGCAAATGGCACACAAGAAATCTCAACGTTCTCACTGAATAATGTCGCAAGTTTAATATGGTCGCGGCGACTACTCTGGAGCCTTATACCCACCAATTAGACCCGAGTTTAAATTATCTTCTAGATAAGGATTAAAGTTTAGATTAGAGACGAATACTTAATCGGAATTTAATGAAAGTCATAAGTAATACTTGAAACTGCAAGTTTACGCCTGAATTTCAGGATACTCGCCACTATCACCAGCGATGTCAACACGTTAATAATATCGCCGCTATTGCCAACGTCGTCTACACCCCGGTCGCCAGTTTCCAACACACACGCGAGAACAAGCAAGGATACGAGAGTTGATAAATGTCGGAAAATAAAATTCGTTGAAGTAAATGAGAATGGTCAAAGACACGTTGATTGGGGCCAAGGAGGGAGAACACACGTAGCAATTAATTGGGCTAAGTGAATTGGCAAATCTAAAGTGGCTCTTTTTTCGTATCAAGTAAACTAGAGTTCGATGCACTAGCGCGCGAAGTGATCGATAAACAATCGGGTAAACAAATGCAGCATGACTGAGATAATGGGGTGCTATATTTTAATTGTGCATCGTCATAAAAGTTTATATGACTAGCGTCTATGTATTATATAAATTATAATCTTACAGTATCAATATATAATTATGTGTACAAGACATATTGACCAGTACTCATTTTCTTATGGCACGTTTATATTAATAACAATTGTCTGCGGTACGGAGTAAAGTGACGTATGATAGATGCAGGCACACATCTGACTCAAAAAGTATAAATAAATTGTAATAATGTTATAATGAAGTTTGTAGTTTGTGGTTAGTCTTTTGAGAGGAGAAAAGATGTATTAATAACGACACTATGTGAGAGTTTGCAGTAGTTTTATACAGCAAACTAAAGAAACATTTTTTTCATATCTATTACACACACACTTATATTTAATGATTGCATTCAGCAGAAGAAAAAAAGGACGAACGCTTTGCCATTTTTCGCTTCGAAATTTTCCTTCAGTGTTGAACAAACGTGACGCAACGTGAAGCCATATAATATAATGGAGAGAAGATTCAGCAAAATTTCCAAATTATATCAGGTATGTCGACTGGTGCTTTCTGCTGAATACAACCAATAATGTACGACGTCTGTCTTGATTCTTCTTTGTATATCGTAACCATGTTCTGTACGGTGGATTTATGAGGACAGGTTTTCTGCTTCGATGCTAAGTTAACCGCACTCTATGCAAAAACAAAGCGCCGCTTAGTTCGAGTCCCTAGGAATGCTTCAGTCCAAATCATCATCGTCATAAAGATCATCAAACTCTGAAATGAAACAATTATTTCAATAAACTAATCTAAGTATATTCTGTTAACCTGTACTGTTGTTCGTGGAAACCCTTCCTCCCGCAAATTTACTGTGAATTATGCAGAGAGAAATTAACTGTACAATTGAATAAGCTACGTAATAACATTTGACATACCGTTGAAGAACTCCGAATGAACTGCTTTCTCGCTTGCTGTGAGATCTACTAATAACCTACTACCTCCGACCTGTGGAATCATTGTACGGATAAACATTTTGTCATAGGATTTGTCATAAAAAGAATGTAATATCTGCAGAATGTGATTTCAATGTCGGAGCGATATGTTGTTGACTATTTACATCTAACCTCTCTCAAGCGATTGTATATAGCTCATACCTCTTCCAATTCAACGTAGGGCCCGGCTCCCTCGGGAAACATTTCATCGGCTACAAGTGTCGGCTTCATCGGGATATAATTATTTAATATAATTACTTAATATATCGCGTGACGAGAGAGAGAGAGAGGAGGCCAACAAGATGCGTGTAACATGCGCGGTCGTTTCAATCGAGGCTCGGCTTTCCAAATATTGAAAAACAATATGGTTGCTAATACAATGTTGCATCGGCGCTAAAGATTAACCGATAGGTTAGAAGATAGGTAATTCGTGTAAATTTTACCAATTCGTACTGATCACCAATTTCGCTTATTCATACACACATCTCTCAGTCAATGTTTCCAGCGGCTTTAAATCGCTCCGAGATTGACTTTCAACAAACAAGGACGAAAAGGTGGCGCTCTGCTACTTTTTCCGTAATTTCGTATCAGCTGATGACATATGATGTGACCGACCGTCGTCGAAGGAGCGGAGCCGATGTGATTCCGCCGACTTCCTCCTTGCTGTTCATGGACAGTGTTCAGCCGCTTTGCGCGCGAATAACTTTTTTTCAGTTTCTTTTGTAGACCTTTTTGTGTGTAACCTCGTTGGTTATTTCACGCCAAAACCGAGCAACAAATACAATTAATATATAATTAATATAACAATATTCAGCAAGTCAACGATTTAATCGTACCGAAATGAGCAGCCAAAAGACAGTGCCGAACGGCGTCAAGTTCCTCATCGGTGGCACTTCTGGGTTTGTGTCTTCTTTTTTTTATAATTTTAATGCGAGTGAAATAGGCGTGAAGTAGTCGTGCGATCTTGGAAGATTACATACGTTTTGATATCATGAACGCGTGTTTCGCAATCATTGACTTGACTACAGTCTAAGGGTCAAGATCTTTCAGGTTTTGAACAAGAGTTGCCTCACTCACGGATTACTTAGCTGAAGATTATTTCTATTAGTACTAATAATAAAAAAAAGCAAGTTGGATATTTCAGGGTGATGCGATATATATATATATATATATATATATATATATGTACATACATGTGTAGATACATCTTAATAGTGTACTATAAATAGCTGCAACTCTACCCTGGATAACTGGTAGCTTTTTTTGTTGTATGTCCTGTTGAAAAATGTTTTTGCTCCAATTTTTATAATAACCCACATATGTATGCATGGATGGATTGTTTGATTTTTAATTAACTTTGTTTTAAAAAGTACGAAGAATAAGTCTCGTTGATTAAAGTTATAAGGAATATATATCATTAGATTATGGAATATGATTCGAAATTGTACAGTTACATATATTGCAAAATTCTTGAGCGAATTTGCTTTATTACCAAACAGCTGATAATATTTAATTACAGCATGGCAGCGACATGTTTTGTACAGCCATTGGATTTAATAAAAAATCGTATGCAGTTGAGCGGTACAAAAACCTCAACATTAAGTGTAACATCGTCCATTTTAAAAAACGAAGGTATTCTAGCACTATACTCAGGTTTGTCCGCTGGTTTAATGCGACAAGCTACGTACACCACTACTAGACTTGGTATATACACATGGCTTATAGAACTTACTTCGTAAGTAAAAAGTTAGAATATTGCATCGATGATGATAGGATATGTTAAAAGCACATACACTTGCTCTATTTAGAAAAGACGCTCAACCAAGTTTTATTGTGAAAGCACTACTTGGCATGGCAGCTGGTTGTGTCGGAGCATTTGTAGGTACACCTGCAGAAGTAGCTTTAATTAGAATGACCGCAGATGGAAGACTGCCTATTGGTGGGTAAATTCTCTGGAATGTACGCAATTATATATTGATTTACCATGTCACTCCATAATACTTTAAATACTTTCAGCCGATAGGCGCAATTATAAGAATGTGTTCGATGCATTATTCCGTATAATTAAGGAGGAAGGTCTATTCACCTTGTGGCGCGGCGCCATTCCCACTATGGGACGTGCCATGGTTGTGAATGCAGCGCAGCTGGCATCATATTCGCAAGCGAAACAAGCATTGTTAGACACAGGTAGAAACATTTATATAATTTATTATATTCTATGAAACGGAGAATGTATTCAAGAAAGGACCATGCGGAAAACTTTTCATCTATTATTTATTTATTAATTTCTTTCAAATACAGGATATTTCGAGGAAAACATCATATTACATTTCGCAAGCTCTATGATTTCTGGTTTAGTCACCACGGCTGCATCTATGCCTGTTGATATAGCGAAGACGAGGTAAATTTCCCAGCATCTTTTTATGCTTAGGAACATTCAAATAACATTCTTCATTTCGAACTTCATGCAACACCTTGTTTTAGGATACAAAATATGAAAACAATCAATGGCAAACCAGAATTTACCGGAGCTTTCGATGTTCTCACTAAAGTTATAAGAAACGAGGGATTGTTTGCATTGTGGAAAGGATTCTTCCCATATTATGCACGTCTGGGACCTCATACTGTTCTGACATTTATTTTCTTGGAACAGATGACTTCCGCTTACAAAACATATCTGGCGTAGTATATTCGCAACAAAAGTCGTCGATCCCATAGATTCCAGCGATATCTTAAGTTTCGCTATTGTACTGCTATCTGTCTAAAGCCTAACATTTATGTGATATACATTATCAAAGAAACATTATTTTTATAAAGAATCAATTTTTGTAGAATGTATGATTTTCTCTTATTAATTTTGCGCCACGATATCTTACAAAGTAGATTATGGAAAATAATGTTTACTATCACGCGCACAATTGCAATACATGATTTTATATAGAATTTTTGTTATGCAATCAATTCTATACACACATACAAATATACATATATACAGTTGTCTTAATATACAGTGATTAATGATAAATACTTTGAATTTTTGACTTTCGAAATAATGACCATTAATTGAAGAATGATATATAAAAATACAAATTTCTATGTATAAATAACTCTTGCTTTGAATTATAAATATATTTTAAATCTCTATTTAGTATAATACAGATGTTAAGGAAGAGATATTTTACAATTATTCTTATATGGGAGATATTCTGTATATGAATATTGAACAAAATGGAGCTCGTCTGGTACGACTCTAGTATTTACGCGTGTCATTTACTTCGATCATTTATGTATTGTTATTTTGTTTAAAATTTCTTTTATAAATATATGTAATTCAGAGCTATTACATCTTACACGACAAGGTGTGTATTGTTAATAGACCTAAATATATAAAAATAATATGATATTAATACAAATGAGATTGTATATTAAGCATTTAGTAATAAAAATTGTATTTTTAATGTTAATTCTTTGTCGCAATTTATATGAAAGTCAAAGTACCGAAAAATGTCTATTAAACTAGTTTATAAAAAAAAGATGAAATTTTATAAAACTGAAAAATGGAAAATACACATTTTATATATCTTAATAATATAATTATACATACAGT